CGTGGTGATAAGGATGAATTTGTGGTGATTAGGAAGATTGTGTGGTGATAAGGATGATTGTGTGGTGATTAGGAAGATTGCGTGGTGATAAGGATGAATTTGTGGTGATTAGGAAGATTGTGAGGTGATAAGGATGAATTTGTGGTGATTAGGAAGATTTTTGGGATGATAGAGTTGATTCGTTCGTCCACCCGGTGTTGCGATTTATTCTAATTTGGGTCTGATATTTGATTTCACTGTTCTGGGTGTAAGACACAAACATGGATTAGCTTTCCATTTCGCAACTGCTATAAATAATTGCTTCCAAGAAAAAGTCTAAATAGTATTGTTTAACTCATTCTATTCTTGGCGTCACTGTAATCATGGCTGTATTTAGATTTCAGCCACCATTTTATATGATGTTATTTATGGCTTAGCCTGTCACGATCCACTGATTTTGCTAAGCCGTGCAGACGGCTCTGTACGTTAAGATTAAAATACAAGAGAATGGTTAGAGCCGAGAGGTCAAAGGTTTGCCGAAAGAGGGGTTCCATCAGAAATCAAAACGTCTCTATAAGTCATGGATTTAAAGTGTGTTCATAATGAGCAACTTACTATAGAATAGATATTAATTATGCACCTTTGTTTTGGTCTTTTAATTTTTATAACAAGGGTTCTTAACCTGGGTCGCCCGCAAGCTCGAGGGTACATGAAGTTCTTAACCTGGGTCGCCCGCAAGCTCGAGGGTACATGAAGTTCTTAACCTGGGTCGCCCGCAAGCTCGAGGGTACATGAAGTTCTTAACCTGGGTCGCCCGCAAGCTCGAGGGTACATGAAGTTCTTAACCTGGGTCGCCCGCAAGCTCGAGGGTACATGAAGTTCTTAACCTGGGTCGCCCGCAAGCTCGAGGGTACATGAAGTTCTTAACCTGGGTCGCCCGCAAGCTCGAGGGTACATGAAGTTCTTAACCTGGGTCGCCCGCAAGCTCGAGGGTACATGAAGTTCTTAACCTGGGTCGCCCGCAAGCTCGAGGGTACATGAAGTTCTTAACCTGGGTCGCCCGCAAGCTCGAGGGTACATGAAGTTCTTAACCTGGGTCGCCCGCAAGCTCGAGGGTACATGAAGTTCTTAACCTGGGTCGCCCGCAAGCTCGAGGGTACATGAAGTTCTTAACCTGGGTCGCCCGCAAGCTCGAGGGTACATGAAGTTCTTAACCTGGGTCGCCCGCAAGCTCGAGGGTACATGAAGTTCTTAACCTGGGTCGCCCGCAAGCNAACTGCCCATTAACGTCCATCCACTGCGAGGAAGGAAACAAAACAACGCAAGAGAAGAAAAGGTGGTGGTGGGGGTGGGGGGGGGGTAAACAAGTTATTTTTGGAACAGACCGTTCACTGGACGGGGACAGTAGGCTACTGTGACATTTTGATGGAAAGAAATCTTTGGAGGGAAAGGGGGAATCATAAAAAGAAAAGTGGGGAGGCCCCTTTTTAACCGACTGTATAGGTCTTGACGACTTGACTCTGTGCGTGTTGAATAAAAAAAGGTAGGCCAGCCTATGAACTTAGGCCTTTGATGACGAATCTGGTCAAATGACCAATGAGCATAGGCATTTGAGGACCAATCTGGCTAAATGACCAATTAGCATAGGCATTTGATGACCAATCTGGCTAAATGACCAATGAGCATAGGCATTTGAGGACCAATCTGGCTAAATGACCAATTAGCATAGGCATTTGAGGACCAATCTGGCTAAATGACCAATGAGCATAGGCATTTGAGGACCAATCTGGCTAAATGACCAATTAGCATAGGCATTTGAGGACCAATCTGGCTAAATGACCAATGAGCGTAGGCATTTGAGGACCAATCTGGCTAAATGACCAATTAGCATAGGCATTTGAGGACCAATCTGGTCTAAATGACCAATTAGCATAGGCATTTGAGGTCCAATCTGGCTAAATGACCAATGAGCATAGGCATTTGAGGACCAATCTGGCTAAATGACCAATTAGCATAGGCATTTGAGGACCAATCTGGTCTAAATGACCAATGAGCATAGGCATTTGAGAACCAATCTGGCCAAATGACCAATTAGCATATGCATTTGAGGACCAATCTGGCCAAATGACCAATTACCATAGGCATTTGAGGACCAATCTGGCCAAATGACCAATTACCATAGGCATTTGAGGACCAATCTTGTCAAATGATCATTTCGTCAACATGTTCGGGCCTAATAGAAACAACACAGCTTTTATATCTGAGGAAGGCCTCAGTTGAATTCACATATTCTCGCTTTCTTAAAGTTTTAGTACTTTTGGATTTGATTATAATGTAAAGGCCGGTTGCAAAAAAAAAAAAAAGGTTTTGGAAAAAAAAAAAGGGGGGGTGGTGGGCTGCTCCGGGGGAAGGGCGCCTATTCTATTATCTCCATACGGAGTCTCAGCATTTTCGGCCAAATGCACATTTTTGTACATTGAAAAACACAGCTTTTATATCTGAGGAAGGCCTCAGTTGAATTCACATATTCTCGCTTTCTTAAAGTTTTAGTACTTTTGGATTTGATTATAATGTAAAGGCCGGTTGCAAAAAAAAAAAAAAAGGTTTTGGAAAAAAAAAAAAAAGTTTTGGAAAAAAAAAAAGGGGGGGTGGTGGGCTGCTCCGGGGGAAGGGCGCCTATTCTATTATCTCCATACGGAGTCTCAGCATTTTCGGCCAAATGCACATTTTTGTACATTGAATTTGGCACAAACTTATTGACACACCTAGGGCGGCACTATTAGTAGCTACCCCCGCCCCCCACCTCAGTATAGGCCTATAATGGAAAGCTGCAAAACAAAATACCTCTAGAGAGTAGTTTTTGGGGGATTGTAATCGCGCAGGTTCATTATAGATAAAATGGTCGACAAAATACCTGAAGTCATTTGATTTGCTGACAATATTAATGAAAAATTAAATTACAATAAGAAAATCGCCCTCTCAAAACGATCCCTTGATTTTAAGCCTGATTATTAAAATTTTAACCTTTTCACTTCCTTGCATTGTTATTTCAGTCAGGTACATATAAAAAGTATACCATAATCATGCGCCGTGTTTAAATGTGTATTGAGGCTGGAGATAAAAGAAAAGCATGCTTCCAAGAACTTTAAGAATGTCGAGGCATTTTAACTTTATAACTACAGCCTAGAGGTCGTCCAATAATTATTTCAACAAAATATAAAAAAATAGGGGGGGGGGGGGTGGCGCGGTGGAAAATTTTGACAATATTTGACAAAGGGGAAGTGGGGAGTAGATTAATTGACGTCAACAATCGTGTTTTCTCTATTTAAATTAATGGACGCCCCTCTACCTGGAATGCACCAAACAAAAATATATTTTTGAAACCAATAAATTTTAAAAAAAGAAAAAGTAATTCTTTTCTTTTTAACTCGTAAGCACTTGCCCAATTTTAAACATATACAATGTTATAATTACAAGCCTTTTTAAAAGCTTCTGCTTGATAGGTCTATTTCAATTTAGAAGAGCTTCCACTAGTTTTATTCGGCATCCGTAGCCCAGGGCCGGCGAAGTGGCTAACGCGTTTGCGGGGCCCCGCGCGTTGCCGAGAATATTTATAATATACCTACTAATAGTTCCTAATCCAGTCAACACAATATTCGGAAACTAAGCGAGTTAAGAAATATCCGTTATGCCGCGACCCATTATGACCAGCACGACCCACAGTACGACTATAACGTGTCTTAATATCCTATCGGCGGAATATATAACGTCAACGGTCATTTGCCCAAGGCCCCGCAGCCTCATAGCGCCGACCCTGCGTAGCCTGCTATAGTCAAATTAGTAGGATTGAGCTTTTTACAGCATCAAGTTTAAGTTTTGTAATTGATGATGTAGGTCTAAACTTTGACGATTGCTGGGATGGTTTAGAATTGACCTTTACATCTTTCAAATCATGCAGCATTATAAATGTAGGAGTGTTTTTTGTTTTTTTCTAAAAATATTTGCACAGTAAATTGCGTTTCATGTCCTTTGTGAAAAGATACTGGGAATTTAGGTACAAATGCCTAAAATAATCATCAAACTATTAAAACTATGTTTATTGTACTGGTATTTATTTTTTTAAAAAAATATTTAAGTACAAAAAAAAATTAATTAAAACTAAAATAAGTTAACATCATATCTCGTGTAATAATCGGGATGCTTATTGAATTAGTAACGCTGAGAAAAATTATTATTGACCATGAATTTTCGATTTTTGACATTTTAGTTTTAATAGGGTTGCTTGTCACTATTTATTTGAAAAACATGCTTCACCCCCAAAGGCTCGAAGCGCGGTACAAAGTCAACCATATTAAAATGAGAAAACAATCTATATTATACCACATTGAACATAGTAAATCTATAGATTATAAATCTAAACTGAAAAAAAAACACTAACGAAGGTACAAAAAAAAAAAAAAAAAAAAAAAAAAAAAAAAAAATAAAAAAAAAAAAAAAAAAAAAAAAAAAAAAAAAAAAAAAAAAAAAAAAAAAAAAAAAAAAAAAAAAACAGTATTTATACAAATTTAACTAAAATATATATTTTTGTAAAAAGTATAACATTTTATATCCATGATCAATTTTTTAAAAAAAATCTCAACATCTTTTATTCAAAAGTTCACGCGGAATGCAAAAAAGACTTTGACGTTGTGTATTTAACTTGTGATTAAATCGTTAGCAAATTTTCTTTTCTTTAAAAATTTAAAATATAAAATTAGCGATGTGACAACCAAACCAACTCACGAGACAAAAAACCCCAAAGCCTACTCCCCTACATTTTTTCCCTAGCAGTATTAAACATTTGATATGGTATAAAAATTAAAAAAACAATTTTAAAAGACTTTTAAAACTATACATATAATATAGATTTAGAAAAATTTACTTTTTAAACGGCGCATAGCTACAAATGGCTAAAGAAGCACGGGCTCCTACCGTATAGTTGAAAAAAAAAACTGTAATGCCAAGTTGGATTTCTATAACTTAAACATTCTTTATTAGACTTCTGCAATGCAAGTTTAATATTAAACAGAATGTTTTATTAACTTTAATTATTTTCATGCATTTTAAAGCATCTGATTTGTGTTAATTAAATAAATTTGAAAAAATAAATTATGAATTTTTTATATTTTAAAATGTGAGGGGAAATTCCTCATTAAAAAAGGGGGAATAAATCTTGTGCAAAGCCAAGGCCAAGGACAAGAAAGCGAAAGAAGAAATTATACCACAGGTGAGAAACGGTTATTTAGATGGGGGAGTGAAATTCTGTTATTATTAAGTAATTAATTAGTTTTAAATATTATTTTTTTAATTCCAAAGTACCAGACCCGGGTCTAAATAAACAATAGCCGTTACGCATACTGACAAAATGCTATTGGGATGTCATTTCTGGTAGTTTATTTTAATTTAACTGAAGAAGTAAGTTTACAAACATGACTAGTAGTACTATTATAATATTAATTATTATTATACCAGCTTTAACTTAATGATTATGACACACACAAATGCAACGGATTGGCCAATGCCTTCTCATCAGTTGTCAGTCAGTACAAACAAACTAAAAGCGTGACATAATTAATAATTAATAATATTATTATTATATAATTATATATTAATATATTGTCATGTATTAGGATATTTATATCCTACCTAAAATAAAGGATAATAATGGGCACAGGGGCCATCCATAAATGCTGTCACGTGCCGGGGGGGAGGGGAGGGGGGTCAAATTTTTGTGAGGATGTGTGACGAGGGGGGGGGGCTCAAGCAATGTGACGTCACATGAAAAGAATATGTAGTAAAGAATTGCACTCAATGACACTAAATTACAGACATTTTTAACATTATTTTTATACAATTATAATTATTTTATTTTTAAACTACTATCACTGAGAGAATCAGTACAGACAGGGCCGGCGCTAGGGGATGGCGAAGTGGGCGACTGCACGTTGCCGTAGTATATTTATCATATACATCAGCCTGCCAATAGTTCCTAATCCAGTCAACACAATATTCAGAGTTATTAGATAGTCAAATGGTGAAGATCAGTCTGGCTACCGTTATGACGCGTCCCATTACCCATTAAGACCAGCAAGGCCTGAGTACGACTATGTCTTAATATCCTATCGGCGGAATATATAACGTCAACGGCCTCGCAAAAGTAAATTTGCCCAAGGCCCAGCATCCTGATCGCATCGGCCCTGAGTACAGGTATGTGCAGTCCCAAGAATGGCCTCTGATCAAGTTACAGGACGCCAAGGAGGAGGGGAATCAGAGTGTAGTTACAATGAGAGTCGTGAGAATTAATGACTCAATGTGGACACAGGAAGTGGGATGGAGCGGGAAAAAAAGGTTGACTACGGGGTGGGGTTTATCTTAGTAAACGCTCTGGGGAAGGGATCCTTAACCCTTTTTGCAGCGTTGCTGGCCCACTCCGTTTAAAACATCCCTCCCCAACCGTATAAATTATATTGTCATAAAATTTAAAATAATTAATTAATTTAGCTATCGTAGTTTTATTTCTTTAAATAACTTTTTATAAGCGGGAAAAAATTACCAATACACGCAATGCGCCAATGAAATTTAGCATTGACTGCTGCTCATCAAAATCCATAAAAACTTGCTTAATTAAAAAAAAATATATTTTTTTTCTAAGCAGCAACAACTAGCAATGGCAGCAAATACAATCAGTGGCGTAGCTAGGGTTGGTGTCACCTGGTCCGGTAAGCTCGTGGTTTCACCCAATCACCGCCCTTTTCACAATGTATTTCTTCTTGTTAAACTTTGTCCACAGAACAAGAAATACAAGAACAAAAACAAATTAAATGAAGCTAAGGAGGTAAATGTATTTCAGAACTGTAACTTATACTTAGAATCGCCAATTGTTATCAAAGGATAGTTGTATTTCTTAGAATTTAGATAAAAATAGCTTCCTGAAACTTACAAAAATAATTACGTTATTTTTCAATTTGGTGTCACCCTGAGATGGTGTGGACCTGTGCGGTCTGCACCCCCCTAGCTAGGCCACTGAATACAAATGTTTGGTCTTCCACACCTCAAGGCTGGCAAGGTACTTGTACCCCTGGTTAAGTACCACTGATCTAGTGAAATGTTTCTGTCACTGGTGCAGCAATTTGATATCCATGGGAGGCCAGTTTCTTAAGGGTTGGTAAAGGACAGCAGTGGACGCAGGACTTTTTATAAGGTGGGGGATGCAGAGATTTGTGACGTTATATTTAAGGGGGGTCTAACTTTTTGTGATGATTTGTGACAATGGGGGGAGGTGGGGGATTTGTGACAATGGGGGGAGGTGGGGGGGGGGGTAAAAAATCGGCAAAATTTGCGTGACGTCATTTATGGATGACCCCCCACAAGTGTCCAATACTTAAAACTTAAACAAATGTTTTTGTTGTGCCAATAAATGCATTAGCTGAACTTGAACTGTTTGCATTTGTTTTCTGTGTAATAATTAAGTTAATGTCATTAGTTCATTACCGTCTCTATTAACAAGTTAATAAGAAAATACATTTGATATATCATTGTTGTGTGCTTTTATTTCAGTTACATCAACAGGCAAACTTTATCTATTAGATGAGAGAGTGCTTTCAGAAGCTTTGTTTCTCAACATATAATTTTAATGTTATAGCAGAATTCAACAACTTCAAAGTAAGAATAACTTTTACATTTTATGCCTTGAGCATAATTAACAATAAAAATCAACTTAGCTAAATTACTTTTTTAAATGTTCCTTTTTTTCTTCTTTTGAACTCTCAACATTTTGTTCGGCATATTTAATATTCTATCATAGTATTCTTAGTCGTTACATTCTGTTTTCTCTCTAAATTATTGTTATTATTATTATTAACTTTCAGGATGCCATTTATGAAAGGAGCAGCTCCTATTAGGCGAACATTGAACTATTTAGAGAAGGGAAAACTAGTTTTGAAAGACAGTGTAAAAATTGTGTCCTTTAACTATAATACAAATCATCCACCTAGTGAGGGAGCGGAGTAAGTATTGGACTTGATTAAGATGATTAAGTTCTGCTTGTGATCTCTTTGTATATTCTTTCCATAAGTCAAGCTTAGCCTTAAGTTCTTTTTCTGCCTCCTAATTAATATAACTACCTTGAGGGCCCTTCATGAAGGGACAGTCAGCATTGGTGGCAGAACAATCACCAACCTGCAATTTGCGGACGACATAGACTTGCTGGCTGGGAACGAAGAAGAGCTAGCCGACCTGGTAAAGCGTCTCGATAAGACCTCGTCGTCCTACGGCATGCTAATCAGTGCCGAAAAGACAAAACTGATGACAAAGAATACCGCAGGCATCACCACTGAAATTAAGGTTGGGGAGGAAAGATTAGAGACTGTCGGACGCTTCAAATACCTAGGAGCAATAGTCTCAGAAGAGGGCTCCAAGCCCGAACTGATGTCCAGGATTGCGCAGACTACAACAGTACTAAAAAAGCTCAAGAAAATATGGAATGACAAAAATATAGCCCCCAGCACCAAAATCAGGCTGATGGGCTCATTAGTCCTCTCCATTTTCCTGTATGCCTGCGAATCCTGGACATTAACAGCTGATCTTGAAAGGAAAATAAAGGCGATGGAGATGAGATGCTTCAGAAGCATTTTTGGCATCTGCTCTAGGGACCATATCTCCAATGATACAGTGAAAGAAAGGGTTCGTCAGGCAATTGGGGAGTACGATGACCTACTGGTGACTGTGAAAAAACGCACATTACAATGGTACGGCCACGTAACAAGGAAACAAGGGCTTGCCAAAGAAATATTGAAGGGCACCACAAGAGGAGGGAGAAGAAGAGGAAGACAAAGAAAAAGGTGGGAGGATAACATCAAAGAGTGGACAGGACTAACACTAACACTGGACGATGCAGTGCGTAGTGCTGAAGACAGAGAGGAATGGGGGGGGGGTTCACATGTCATCTGTGGCGCCCCAACGGTCCAAGGACTAAGGGACATGAGGATGAGGGCCCTACTTATACAGAGCTCTAAAAGTCCATATGACTAACACTAACACTGGACGATGCAGTGCGTAGTGCTGAAGACAGAGAGGAATGGGGGGGGGGGGTTCACATGTCATCTGTGGCGCCCCAACGGTCCAAGGACTAAGGGACATGAGGATGAGGGCCCTACTTATACAGAGCTCTAAAAGTCCATATGACTCACTATGATATGAAGCATACACAACTATTTGGTTTTAAAATGCTATTTGTTTTTAATGCACAGCATTAAGTTTTTGCTAAGACATTTTTATACCCAATTAATTTTTTGGTCATTTTCATTCAGGAACTTTGTGTTTTGGCATTTTGCACAAATGCAGTACAAGAACCCAAGTGTTCAAATGCTTGTTTTCAATGACATGACACCTTCCCCTTTTGTACAGGTTTTTTTCAGTAAGTTTTCTAATTCATTCTTAACATTTAAAACCGCTTCCATGCTATGACAATTAAATATTAGTCAATTCAGTGTAGAGTCTTTTAAGATTTTAGCTAGTGAACAAATAAATAAGTGTTTGATTAATAATTAATATCATGTTTTTGGGGCCTTCCTACAGGATACTTTATACGTCCCCTTTATAAAGCCCAGATTTATAGTAAAGCAATCTGCATTGAAATATAGATTAAATGCATATTTTCTTTACTTTCCTTCTTTTTTAGATTCAGGAACAAAATTAGTCCTGGATGTTGACAGTCAAGACAAGGACAGAATTTTTAAAGAAGTGAGAAGAATATTCTGCAAATCGGAGTAAGTTCCATATCATTCATCCACCATCACTTGTGTGATGTCTGGTACTGTAGATGATGTCTGGTAATGCAGAAGTTAAAAGAATTCCTTTGATTTTCTCAAATTATTTTTTATACGGTACCAGTACATTTCAGTTTTTTAGGTTGTTCACAACATTAAATAAAATAATTCTTGCTGACATTTTTAAAAAAGGTTTCTTTTAAATTTGTTTCCCTTAAGCATACAGGAAGTTTATTTTAATTTTTAAAAAAGATTAACTCGAACAAAAGTTATGGCTGGTTAATTCTGTGATAACTCAATTATAATTGTTTAAAAGCACGGAACCATTTAACATTGACAGTGTTGATATGGCCTAAGTGCTCATTATTTATAGCTTCTTTTTACTTTAACTGTGTGTGTGTCGCAACAAAGGTGCACATATGTCTTAAGAATTTCATGTGAAAGTTAAAATGCCACTAAATTTTAGTGGCAATTTACCTACCTAGAATGAGATAAACATCGAACCTAAATGGTTTAGAATAATAAGGGGCATTGGGGCTACTCCTCTGAAACAATAACTATTTTAACAGAAATTCTTAATGGTGTTAACAGATTAATACTAAAATAGTTTACTGTACATTAAAGCAAAAAATGTTGAAAACTTGACATTTTAAAGAATTATATTTTTAGGACAATGACCTTTTGATTAAAAAAAAAATAAATGTTAATTAAAGTTACCATGCTTTTTTTTCTCATGGAAGAATTTTGGTGTTATGGTTTTGCATATGGTTAAAGAAGGAAGTGAGCAGTTTCTTAAATGTTAAATTCTTTAATTTCAGTGAAACCCTGGCAGCTGAAGCCCTAGCTAAAGAAAAGAAAACCAATCCAGCCAGTTTTGGGTACATGTGCACACATGAATGTATTTGTGAAATTCCTGGCCAAATACCTTGCACAAAATGGTGTACACCTCCAAAAGAACAAAGAGGAAAATTCAAATTTTTAGGAAAAGATGTTGAGCCTGAATAGTTATTTAAGTTGGTTCTATAACATTGTCATTACAAGATTTGATTGACACTCAGATTGTATCTGCATAGGTGAAAGTAGATATATAAAAGATGGGCTACACAACATGAGCAGATTAAAACATAATTTTATACCATTACTGTGTTTATCTTTGTGAACTCTCTGAATGATCCGTTCTATATGATGTTATTGAATGTTGATGCAAGAAATCTAACATTTTAGCAGAAATTTTTATTGTATTTTTGGAGATTGTTCTATAGTCTATAGATTATTCTTTTTTTAAGTTGCTATATTACAACACAGTGTCTGTCTTATTGTAGATCCATTTGATATATTTGAAACAGTATAATACACCAACAAAATAAGAAGTCAGGATTTAGTGCTAATCAGACAAGAATTCAAATTTAATCTAATGTGGTGCAAAAATAATTTTTTTAAAGGTTGATTAGTTAGAATTGTAAGAACTAATTCATTAGTAGCAATTGCTAATTTCATAGGTTGGGGATTATACAAAGTTTAAAATTTAGAGAGAAAAAAGCAATGTTCACACTACCTTATTCATATTCAGGCTGAATAATACTTATAGCAACTATTGTTAATGATTTGAGATAAAACATCTATATCTGTGGCACATTATTCCTTTTAATATTTTTAAAATGGTACATTTCAATTACCATATTACATTTAATTGCATCTAAATTACATTCACAACCTTTAGCAAGACCAATTATTTTTTAACGTACAGGTAAGTACATTCTTTGCATCAAAAGAAAGTGGTAACCATGCTAAGATGCCTCCAAAACAGAATTGTGTGTTTAAAACTGTCCATAACATAGAGAACATCTTAGGAAATGTAAATAAAAAAGTAAGATCCTCTTGTATTCCTCGTGAGAGACTGCAATCAGGTTTCACAGACAGTATTTTACTTCTAGTAGTAGTATTCCTCGATTTTATTAAAAAATGATGAATTTTACTATACATTTGAAAACGTGTTGATCTAGAGAAATCTTACATGCATACATAATTTAAAACAATTATAACATTACGCAGCCAGTGAGTTAATTTATTTGGGGAAGGACAGTGAGTGTTCATAATATTTAAGCTGCACTAAAAACTTGACATTCATAGAGAATGATTGACAATACTGTACATTTACAACTGACCACATAAAGTAGGTATATTCATTGATTCAAACAACCGACTTGTACATTGAAGTTGTGTTTTGGGCTTTCAACTATAAAAAATCTGTAACCTTTACTAATGAAAATTTTTATCAAAAATTCAAAAGCCAGAATTAACCACCATGATAATCCTAGTCTTGGTGTCATTTAAAAAAATGTTAAGAGCATTTGGTTTACAATAATACTAATACATACTTTCCTCTGATGCAAATTATACATTTACCCCACAACGAGCATTTTCTACTTATTAAACTTATCTACCGTATATCTTCGTCTATAAGTTGATCTTGTCTATATAAGTAGAGTCCAGGCAGTTTTTTAACCAACAATTATGAAATATGCTACGACTCGTGGATAAGTTGAGGGTAAAACTTGGGGCTATGAAATTCTATGATTTTTTAAATAATTTTATCAGATGTTACTTGGCAGCAATGGCTGCACAATATACTAAACTATAGTGTCATTAGGCCTAGACTCTCTTAGAGTCTGCGCTACCAAGTGACATCTAAACTATGGTGTCATTAGGCCTAGACTCTCTTAGAGTCTGTGCTACCAAGTGACATTCCTCCGACTTATAGCAGTGTCCTTTATCTTCCCGACGATAGGCACTGACGGACTCAGCAGTTGGCAATGATGCATGTGGCTCGGTTACAGATTTCAGTCAAGCATCAAGAGCTGTTTTTATCTGCGTGTGTACCCAATATCCATGTCAATGTATCACCACCGGAAAGTACACTAGCACTAACGATAACTCGATATTGTCCCCTCATTCAATGTACAAAATTCTTTTGAAACTAGTACCAACCTGTGGATAAGTCAACTTCTAAAATGAAGTTTATGACACATTTCTCGATTTATACACAAGTATATAAAGTAGCTGTAAAACATTTTGTCCATAGATTCCAAAAACCCTATTGGGCAGAAAGCTGCAGTATTTACTAGTTACAGCGGAAATATATTTGCCTATGAAAAGGTTAAGCAGAAAGTGTGGTGTAAGAGGAAATAGTATTGTGATTTCTAAAAAGTGTAACTAGAACTAGAATGTAATTAATGTTATTAAAAATGGTTTTAAAAGTCAATTCTAGCACTACACTTCTGATAAGAGATTACAAATTATCCACTATTTAGGCAAACCAAGAGGTGAATTAAGGATAAAAAAGATTTTACTAAAAGAAAAACAAAAATATTTACAAAAATAATTTTAGGCTGATATCTGATAAAATAAATATTCGGCACCATTCAGTATAAATATATTGCACAAAATTATTTTCTGTTTTACTGACACGATATTCCTTCACCGAAGTAACTACCTGGCTGCAATCAAAGCTGCACAAATAAATAAATAATAATAAAAATAACTTGTAAAATACAAATGTGACGTAAAATAAGGATTTAGTAAATATATGATACACATTATTGGCAGGGACATAAAATTTGTTCGTTTCCTTCATATAAAATATAATGTTTTTTACCAAAAGATTAAGCAAGAGTAAAAGCTGACTTGGAACCAAGCAGCCATGACACAAGATGCCAACATCAAGCTAATAAAGTGCTAACATACATTTGGACTGCACGATCAAAGTATTTTTTTAAATACCGGTAGCCAATATAACCTTTGACATTGAATAAATGATGATTTATTTTAAGATGATTGTTTCACGGACCTCAATGTCATTAATATTTAAGTATACTTCTGTGCTGCAGTTTGATTACTTTTAACAAGTTTTAAGCTAACATTAACTGCTTTGATGATCTTTTGCACGTTGCCTCTGGTACTCGGCATACAAATCTTGTAGATTCTGTTCCAACATAATTATCTCATCTGTACGATTTGCTTGTTTGGCCTGACGAATGTACCCTTTAATAATCTCCATTTGTTGCAACATGGGATCACTGGCCTTGCTGACCCTTGCAACTTCTTCTACGGGTTTCCATCCCTTCCCAACATTCTCATCAGACGGGTTTCTGTTGTGAGTTTTTGGAGAGCCTATGCTGAAGGCATTTTTGTTGGGTAGAAGTTTCTTTTTCTGAACATCCCCTCCAGATGCGACGCGCCTGTGTCCCAGCTTTGGACCATCATCTGGCGACAAGTCTTTCAACAACCGTTCTCTCTCTAGCCTTTCCCTTTCTTGGCGCTCCCTCTCTTGAGCTTCCATCACAGCTTGCCTTTCTGCCGCTATTTTCCTCTGAATTTCTTCCGCCCTTCTTTGGCGGAGTTTGTTGTAGTCTTCTTCAGATGGAAGTGCCTGGGGATAATTAATGTTGAACTTAATCATGGCTTAGCAAGGCAGTGCTGTTATTTAAATAAATATAAAACATGATGCGTGACTGATATGTCAAAGATTTAAAAAAAAAAAAAACAACAACATTAATTTAGATTATTGAAGACAACAGACCTGTAAACCCATGAGGTTTTCCTGCATGAAATTGGAACTTCTTCAGATGGAAGTGCCTGGGGATAATTAATGTTAAACTTAATCATGGCTTAGCAAGGCAGTGCTGTTATTTAAATAAATATAAAACATGATGCGTGACTGATATGTCAAAGATTTAAAAAAAAAAAAAAACAACAACATTAATTTAGATTATTGAAGACAACAGACCTGTAAACCCATGAGGTTTTCCTGCATGAAATTGGAAGCATACAAGCGAATTGATTTCTGAAGGTGAACTTGTTTTGGGTTCGCTCCTTGCTCTGTATTTAGGTCAAACACCATAATCTTTTTACTGTTGGCAAAAAAAAATGGTAATTTGTTAAAAACATTCAAGAATTTCAAGTTTTGTAGAATTTTGTTTAGAAAAGTACAGTGTCTCTTACCTGAGCTGATCCACAGCTTCATACAGTTTGACAAGCTTTGTACGCATAATTTGAGCTTGCCTATAGTCATACTGAGTCTCTCCTTGACTGAGAAGGAAAAGAAAGGTTTTCAGATAAAAAAAAGCTCTAAATTATTTTTAAAAGTACCGGTAAAAGCTTTCTCATTTCGATGAAAAATTTGTTCAGCCACATAGGAACGAGCAATATTTTAAAATAAAATTTATTCATGTCCCAAAATAGTAATGCTATTACAAATGGATTCTTGAATGTCTGCCAGCTATAAACTAGACCAGAAAACATCAACAGGCCAACTGTTCATTACTGGTAAAAAAAATAAAGTTAAATCTAAATGATCCTTACCTTAATGATTCAACCATAGGTAGGTAATCAGGTAAAATTAGTTCAGCATCCTTGATGCACATTTTCATTTTCTGCAATTAAAAAATTATTGATATTAAATTTTCAAAAAAATAAATCCGTAGTATCCCTACATACACAACGATATTGTAATATGTGTACAAACACATTTTGCTCAAACATTAAGATCCACAGGGCTTCCTTCTATCATTATAATAATGACTTGACTTGGTTACCATACATATTTAGCAGAGATGTGAACAGACATTAAAAAAAAAGGAATTTTTTTGTGTGCTTAAGTGAGTTGGGGGTGGTTTTTAAAAAAAAATAATGTAATTATTGTCAAGGTCTAGTAACAAAAGACCTTTAGAAAAAGTAGGAATTCATCTGAAAATGGGAAAACTAACGTCTCCAATATAATGTGCTAGATTTGCTACGTGGATGAAAGTTATTGTAAAAATCATGCAATGGTTTCTTCAGTTTTAAGAGCATTTATTTTAGAAAAAAAAGTGTTAGACATTTAAGTTTTATTTGAGACCGATGCCTAAATTTTTATATAAATTTAAACATATTTTGAATGTGATATTTTTCATTTTGGTTAGAAATAGAGGTATAAAATTTGTCAACAAAAAATATAATGCAAACAACTAACATCATATATTTGCACAATAGGTGGCTTTGTGTTCCTTTGTTCAGTCATAACATCGCGTCTTTCCAGCAGCTTCCTACATGTTCTGCACACCCTCATAATAGACTCTCCCTCATTGCCTACCAAAGAATTAAGGCTTGTGTTGCTGTTGGTTCTCTTGAGAAAGCCTTCGCCGTGGAAACTGTGGGCTGGATTGACTAGCTTTTCTGAAATAACATTTGATAACATTGAGAAACTGGTTTAAGTTAAATATGAGCACCTTTCACCTACATAAGTTAGGCCACCTAAACGAATCTTATCTAATCAAAAACATTGATTTCGTCAATCACAGAGCTGAAAACAAAAAAGAGAGAGAGTAAGAATTAAGACATTTTAACATTCCTGCCAGTTGTGACTAAATAGTTTTTTTAAAGCAGCATATTTTTGTATCAATAAACAAGTGTGGAATTATTTGTTACACAGTTGTCTTGTTAATCTAGAGTTTTAGTGTGAAGAAGCCATCACTTTATAACTTAATGCTTCACTTCTAATACACACAGATAAACATATATACATTAGCTTAGATACGTTGTTAGAAAAATTGGCAAATAATAGCGTAAACAATTTTATTCTACATAATTATGATTCTTACGTGCATAAGATGATGCCATAAACTCCGAGCATCTGTCACACATAATTCCTCCACATAACCTACAGTGATGTCTTCGTGTTAGAATGCCAAAAGATCGCGCACAGCTTAAACAAGCAGGCACCTCATTGTCTGGTACCCATCTCACAATGGCCTTCTCATATGCTGAAACAAGGCATTTCAAAACCTAGCTCAGGTTTACAAAAAGGAAAAAAAAAAAAAAAAGTAGTTATGTAATGAATATTTTCAAAACAAATCGATCCATGAGTTTAACAGATTGGCAGTTAGCCGATTGGTTTCTAAAGGGAGGACAGAAAATGTCTTCTGGTTAGAATGCCAAAAGATCGCGCACAGCTTAAACAAGCAGGCACCTCATTGTCTGGTACCCATCTCACAATGGCCTTCCCATATGCTGAAACAAGGCATTTCAAAACCTAGCTCAGGTTTAAAAAAAGGAAAAAAAAAAAAAAAAAGTAGTTATGTAATGAATATTTTCAAAACAAATCGATCCATGAGTTTAACAGATTGGCAGTTAGCCGATTGGTTTCTAAAGGGAGGACAGAACACAAATGAAATAAGTTAGAATCAAAATTAAATAAGTTAGAATCAAAATTAAATAAGTTAGAATCAATGTATAAAAATACTGTTTGTAACTTAACAATATTTTGAAAATAACCTTACTGCCACCTACAACAGTCGTGTTTACAAAATATTGTTTGTAACTTAACATTTTGACAATTGCTTACCACCTAATACAAAAGAGGGACTAAAATGAACCAATTTCAAACAGATTGTTATTAAGTTTCCAGAACGATAGTACCGGGTACTGACAATAAAAGAAAACCAAACTTAAGTTATGAGAGTAAATCCAAATGACACAAGAGTTGTAATAATAAGAGGGAATGCAGTATGAGAAATAGACAATTTAACCTATCTTAGGAATAGAGTTATTAATAAAAATATTAATGATGAGGAATCAAGAGGCAGATATCAAGGCGAGAACATAAAAGACAAGAGTGGATCTTACCTTACTTAAAACTATTTGGAGCTTTAGGCAAATAAGGAGAAAGACAAAAATTAGAATGTATTAACTCAAATGTTAAGTCTGTTTTGCTGTATGGCTCAGAAAGCTTGAGATCAACCAAGAAAGATTGGAAAAGACAGTAAACCTTTGTGAATGGTTGCGTGCGTAAAATCCTCTACCTCAAGTGGTTCCACAAAATCCCTAATACAACAGTGAGGGAAATGACAGCACAAATGCCAGTGCAGCAAAAAATAAATAAAAGCAGGTGGAGTTGCAGATGGATAAGTCACAAAATGAGAAAACCCATGCCATATATAGCAAGTCAAGCATTGGTATGGAACTCTCTATGACCAAGAGGACAAGAAGACCCAAAAACACCTGGAGAAGAGATGTGAACAGGGATGTAACAAAGAATGGAAAGAGCTAGAAAGGAAATCTAAATGCCTGAGCTTGAGAGAATAGTTAGAGACCTGAAGGCTTGGAATGAAATTGTTAATGGCCTATGCTCCCTTGGGAGTTGAAAAGGAAAAGAAGAAGAAGACAATAGATAAATGTTGTTCATAATAGAGTACCAACAGATAAGAGCGAACCTTTCCTTTTCTTTGGGTCGAGTGGCGCATCAGGGCTCAACAACTTGTCCAGACGAATGAGTAATTTGTTTGTTTCAACAACAAAGTGATTCACCCTGGCATCTCGGATAGCTTTAAATGAATCAGTGTGGCTCCGAATAGCACCTGCAGAATGATTGAGACTGTTACAAACCCTTGAAGTAATTATTTCATTTAAAACATTTGGGTATTAAAAAACAGAAGGATAAATTGATTAAAGATCATGATGAAATTAGTGGCACAAGTTTCATAGAATCACCAGAACACAAAAACTGATAAATCACTGATGAGGAAAGCTGTTATTTAAGAGACAAATGTAACGCAGTATACAATATTCCAAAAACACAATAGCCTTATTCCATATTGTAGAGCAAGTGTTATTGACATTTTTGGACATGCGCTTAATAGTTTCAAAACACCTACTTTCAGTTTTGACTTTTAATGTATATAACTGAAGATTTAAGATACACTACAGGAAGTGGAAATTTACCTATTTCTTGATCTTCCCACCAGGATGGATCGTATCCAGATAGTCCAACAAGCTCCTCTCTTTTAGTAGTCTCACTTTGTTGAATTAGCTCACCCTCAAACTTATCACCCAATATTCGTTTCTTGGCCTTGTCAAAGAAACCTATCAAATTATAATCACTTAAATGAATTTCAATTGTTTAAAACTATTGCAGGTACAACTGATTTAAAGACTATTATGGCCATCAAGTGTTTTCTTGACTTAATTTACCTTTCAATTGCTGAAAGACTGCCTTATCTTCAGAAGAATGTTCTTCTTCAAAGTGTCCTTGAAGTTGTGTCACGGTTCCAAGATCTTTCATGCATATTGGGCACAAAAAGCCTTCTATTATGTCTGCGGACATTGTTTCTGATTCAAAAGAGAGAAACACAAAATTTGAGGTTTAATTCAGTAGGTACTTTGAGCTTAAAACACATTGTGACATGAGGTAGCAAATGTATCAATGGTTGCCACATAAATTATGTGCCCCTTCAAACATCAAGTTATGCACATTGAAATATATACATTTAATAGATACATGTTTTTATTTTTTGCTGAGCGCTTTGAACTATTCCGCTATGCATACCCGGGTTCCTTTTGACTAAATCCCATTCAGATGTCATTTGTGGTAGTTTATTTTTGTTAAACTGAGAAGTAAATTTACAAACATATGTCTAATTATCTTTCATTTGATACCTCATTTAATATTTTAAATAGTTTTTTAATCCCAACTTCTCTCTTCTGATACCCGGGTGCGAATAGTCGTAGCCTTTACGCCTATAACTTTATTATAAAATGAGAAATGAGATAAAAATATAACTTTTACAGGGAATATAGTTAGAGATGAGTTTTACTAAATAAAACTACAAATTTTAAATTAAGCTATTCTTAATATTCTCCAAAAAATTCTTTAATGTCTATAATTTTCCTTATACACTTTAAAAAAAAAAAAAAAATATTCTGACTCGACTTATTTGTATTTAATGAATTAAATTTCTTTTAAATAAATTTTTAAAATTTCCAGAAAAAAATAATATTCTAAAGATATTAATTTCAAATTTTCTGTGGAATTGCTTAACATTTATAAGTATAAACAAATAATATAGGATTATTTGATTCATTTAGTTAAAATTTATGTAAAATTTTAATTGAATTAATTTTAATTAATATTGAATGATAGTAATAGTATTAGTGCTATTATTAGTATTATTGCTTGTATCTTATATATTATAATTATAAGTCTAAAATTAAGAAGATTATTATGCCTTTAGGCTTAGGCATTTCCATGGTTTAAGTCTAGTTCTGTATTCTGATTGATTAGGTTTTTATATGTTGCTATGACCATGTGGTTGGTTTTACTGACTAATTCAGGAAATACATTCTATTTATTTTTTAAAAATTATATCATTTACGATTTTTTTTTTTTGGTGATCTAAATTTAACAGTTTTCAGCATCCATGCAAAACTATAACTGTGTGAAAGTATTACTTACAGTGCCCCCTCTACCTAACCCCCTGCCCCGACAGCTATTTTTTTTCTGCTACTCTCCACCCCTGATTATAATTACTGTACCAGAGAAACATGTTTTTATCTGCCACAAAATTAGTTAACAACACAAAATATATATTAACAACACAAACATATATTATGATAATTAAAAGTATAAGAATAACATTATTAACATTACATTGGTCAAGTTAATTCTTATCTCTTATTATCATGTTTTAACATTTTTTAGCAAAACAAAAGTAAAACAATAAGCATAGCTGTTTTTGATTTTGGTTCATTCTCGAGAACAAACATAAAAACTAACACCTAACACATATTATACATTCTTGACTGGCCTTTGCTTGAATTGAACTCCAGACCACAAACTTGAGGTTTGCCCAGTTTATACCTTTTTTTTTTCGACTACCCAGTCACCCTGATAATGAAATACCTTTATTGCCTTTATCGATCGATACTGTAACACAGGAAGCATATAGACCTCACGTGACTTGCGACTACGTATAACTCTCAGGGTTATACGCAGTGGACTGCGTATAATCACTTCGTTAAAAATAAGCTACAAAAGTGCCATCCCAGACATGTCAAGACTCAAGTGGTACCCCTTTTCAAAATCTCATGGTTGTTGCTAATCTCATGGCTTCTGATAAGCTCATGATTGTCAAGACAAAGTTTCAGAAAAAAAACAAAGCTGACAGACTATAGACCCAATTCCTTTAACAAAAAGACTGCACAAAATAAAGCGAAAAATCAGATGGTTATCGGGCCACTAATTTAAGAGGAAAAAAACACTTATAAAGACAATAATACACTGATGTTTGTATTTCTCATGTAAACATTCTCTCAACTTAAGATATTGTTTTTTCTAATAAGTTCCAACAATGTCAATCCTGTGAACCACCACTTCTCAACGCCAGGGCCATAGCTAGATTATTACTGCTGCAAGGTAATGCGGCAACTCAGTATAGTCACCATAGTGGGGCTTAGTAGTAGATGTAGTTGGTAAATTTATAGTTAGAAAATGTACATGTTAAGATCAGAAAATTAGAGTGGTGAGTTAGAAGTTTGTGGGTAGTGACAGTACTAAGTAGTAGACTCAGTATCAGTAGTGTAGTGACTGAGTAGAGTAGTGTAGTAACGTGAGTATAAAAGTTAAAAGGCATACTTTGTTAAAATATTTCATACGCAGATTTTTTTTAAAACGTGCATATAAGTCATGAATAATTACCAATTTTTTGCGAAAAGCGTTTATTTCATGCAATTGTAAAAACTCATATGAGTAAATAAAGGGGAGTTATAAAGAAATCGTCCATTATGTTTCCGGCATGAGCCAGATTTTTATAAAATATTTTCCACAGAAGCCTGCTGGTAAACATAAAATAAAATTTACATTAAAAAAAAACAACAACACGCAAATATGTTTATTAAAATAAACATACACAAAATAGTATTTATAAAAGCTTATAAATATATCGTTGACTTCATATGACAGTCGGAAATGTTGCATGAATTATATGGAATTGGAATCTTTATATTTAACTCTTTTAAACAACTAGATTATTTATTTTTTTTTTAAATCAGTAGGCTAAAATATTATAATTTAAAAAAAAAAAATGTGCAGGTTTAAATTACATTTGTAAAACGCTTTTAATTTAATTTAAGAAAAAAATGAAGAAAAAAAAACAACGAAAGATGGGGCTAATATAAGTTGTCCTCTGCCATTAATAAGCTGTAACTCGTTACTCAAGACATGCAATGAGAGTCTATCAGCAAACAATTCAAACGTCATACAAACACACAGATAGACGTTACCAGCACACACGAACTCATAAAGACGTCACCAGTACACACCCACAGATAATAAATCCCGCATTTACTAGGAGCGACTTTAAGGTGCAATCACAGTTTGGGGAAAGGGGGTGGTAGGGGGGAAAGGGGATGCCATAGTATGGGGAAAGGTGATGTTTTTGGTAAAATTATGTAAAATAACGTAATTTAAATGGTCTACGTATCGCGGAAAGCTTATTTTAGTGGAGAGAGCCATGTTTACTACACAAAGAGAAACGTGACTTACAAAGTACATAGAGGGCAAAAAAAAATGGTTGAACCATCTCCGCTCCTAACAAGAGAAGGATAGTTTTCATGTCATCTGTGACGCCCATAGGACTAAGGGGCATGATGAGGATGAAATTTAACCAGGATTCAAGATTCTCCTTTGAGAAATGCAGTCGAGACTGTCATTTCAGGATCGGCCTAGTCTGCCATTTCAAGAAGTTTCCATAGCTATTCCATCGTCTCGCTAGGACGGAGGGATGCCTTTGACAAACATGTAACATAATAGTTGTAAGGAAGGTGGCCCCAACTCTCTAAAGCTGTGTTGCTCTGTGTGAGCAGTGTCAGATTAGGTCTTGTGTAGACCACTATGTATAGCTGTGTGAGCAGTTTCAGATTAGGTCGTGTGTAGACCACTATGTATAGCTGTGTGAGCAGTGTCAGATTAGATCTTGTTTAGACCACTATGTATAGCTGTGTGAGCAGTGTCAGATTAGGTCTTGTGTAGACCACTATCTATAGCTGTGCGAGCAGTGTTTTTGTTTCAATCTTAACATATTTTGTAATTCCCTGATGCGCTGCAATACCGGACGACAACATATAGTTGACATAGCACACAGTGCAGTGACGTACTACTGCGATAGCAGGCTATATATAACCTGTCGTTTATATAACACCGTGTGTAGTGACTTAATACGAAAAATGTTGCAAGTTTGAGATATATAAATTATGATCTCTAAGGTTGAAACATAAAAGTTTTTTTCTTTAACTTAAGCCAAAGTTAACATTTACTGACATAGCCAAAGTTAACATTTACTGACACAGCCAAAATAACATTTACTGACATAGCCAAAGTTAACATTTACCGACACAGCCAAAATATAACATTTACTGACACAACCAACGTTAACATTTACTGACACAGCCAAAATAACATTTACTGTCACAACCAAAGTTAACATTTACTAACATAGCCAAAGTCAACATTTACTGACATAGCCAAATTTAACATTTGCTGACATAGCCAAAGTTAACATTTACTGACATAGCCAAAGTTAACATTTACTGACATAGCCAAAGTTAATATTTACTGACATACGCAAAAGTCAACATTTACTGACATGGCCAAAGTCAACATTTACGGACATAGCCAAGTTTAAAATTTACTGACATAGCCAAAGTTAACATTTACTAACATAGCCAAAGTTAACATTTACTGACATAGCCAAAGTCAACATTTACTGACATAGCCAAATTTAACATTTGCTGACATAGCCAAAGTTAAAATTTACGGACATAGCCAAAGTTAACATTTACTGACATGGCCAAAATTACCATTTACTGACATGGCCAAAGTCATCATTTACTGACATAGCCAAAGTTAATATTTACTGACATAGCCAAAGTCAACATTTACTGACATGGCCAAAGTCAACATTTACTGACATAGCCAAAGTTAACATTTACTGACATAGCCAAAGTTAACATTTAATGACATAGCCAAAGTTAATATTTGCTGACATAGCCAAAGTCAACATTTACTGACATTGCAAAAGTCAACATTTACTGACATAGCCAAAGTCAGCATTTACTGACATAGTCAAAGTCAACATTTACTGATATAGCCAAAGTTAACATTTAATGACATGGTCAAAGTTAACATTTACTGACATAGTCAAAGTAGACATTTACTGATATAATATAGTAAAATTCAATTTTTACTGACATAGCTTAAGTCATCATTTAATGACATGGTCAAATTTAACATTTACTGACATAGCCAAAGTCAACTTTTACTGAGATAGCCAATGTCAAAATTTACTGACATATTCAAAGAGGAAAGTGAAGATTTTCAGTTAAAGGACATTAAAATGATTGTTTTTTGTTGTAAACATTAGAGCAATTATCATATAAAAAATAAAGACCAGTTATATTATCAGTTATTATTTGTATCCAATGACACCAATTCTCTCTCTTTCTTTCTATAGCTCCTTCTCTCCCTCTCTTTCTAAAACTCCTTCTCTCCCTCTCTTTCAACAACTCCTTTTCTCTCCATCTCTTTCGATAACTCCCTCTCTCCCTCCCTTTCTATAACTCCTTCTCTCTCCCTCTCTTTCTATAACATCCCCCCTCTCTTTCTATAACTCGTTCTCTTTCCCTCTCTTTCTATAATTCCTTTTCTCTCTCTCTCTCTCTCTTTCTATAACTCCTTCTCTCTCCCTCTCTTTCTATAACTCATTCTCTCTCCCTCTCTATCTGTATCTCCTTCTCCCTCCGTCTCTAAAAATATATCTCCTTCTCTATTCCCCTGTCTATCTATATCTCCTTTTCTGTCTCTCTATCTATATCTCATTCTCTCTCCCTCTCTCTATCTATATCTCCTTCTCTCTCTCTCTAACTCACGCACACTCTAAGTCTACCTCTCTCTCTCTATCTCTCTCTCGCTCAATATCTCGCTCCATCTCTTTCTCGCTCTCATTCACATACACAAACGCACAGAGATATAAACACACACACACAATTAAACACACACACACATCCTAGTGGCAAAAAAAAAAAAATCCTGATTTCTACACCATATATTTATTTATGGTTATGAGAGATTTGGTTTATTTTTCTTCTTCCATTTCGGTGTTAACCAATTCTTCTAGCGGTCTAGTCTCAAGATCTGGCCATTTAGGGCCAAAGATAGTTAAACTCCAACATAAGGAGGAGTCTGTAGAAAGTGCGCTCCGCCATAAGGACGAGTCTGTAGAAAGTGCGCTCCATCATAAGACGGGTCTGTCGAAAGCGCGCTCCATCATAAAGACTGGTTTGTGGAAAGTGCGCTCCACCATAAAGACGGGTCTGTGGAAAGTGCGCTCCACCATAAAGACGGGTCTGTGGAAAGTGCGCTCCATCATAAGACGGGTCTGTCGAAAGCGCGCTCCATCATAAGGACGAAGCTGTGTACCCGACAAGGACCTGCTAAAAAAGCATTCATTGATTAGCACTACGACTTTAGCCAATTTTAATGCACCGATGAAAGGGGGCGAACTCTTCCCCATTCATGGCGTTTTGTCACGGATGTGACCGGCGAGAAAATGGCAGGGCGTGGGAATGGCCAGATTGGGCGACAATGTTGGAGAGCGCCCCAGACCAAACCAAAATCACGAGAGTCACACAAATCGAAGTGGGCCAACAAAAAGCGAGTGTTGATCGTCTTTACAGCGTGGCCGGTGGCCCTTTTCAATGAGCTGTTGCCCAGTTCCAGCGAGACGCGGGCCGATTCGATCGCTTGGTTACTGCGATCTCCCAGGCCTAGAGCTGGGGCTGGTTAGCTGATGTGGCATTAGAGACATTTAATTTGACTTTCAGTTTCAAGAAGTAGGGCAATCATGAAGAGAATATCGCAACAGTTTCGTGTCTGATTAATGAATTTATTTCTATTAAATAAGACTACAAAGGTTGGATTTAATTACTTAAAAACATAATAATAAGTTAATTAATATAATGGTCTGTATTCAATTCCCCCCCCCCCCCCGGTCTTCTTATCTAGCCCTTTATTACAACTCTTATCATTTTGAATGCATCCTTCGAGAGAATTTTATACTGACAAAAGTAATATCTTGAAAATAATTGAATTATAGCATTTAATCATGTAAAATTACTATTCAAGGTAAAAAACTTATAAAAACAGCTTGTAAAAATAATTAACAATAGAAATATAACCAAAGATTATTTAAATAAGTAAAACAAAAAATTTTTAAAAATTCATTTTTTTTCGATAATGTCCTTATTTTGTAGTTAAGATTTTGAAAATGAAAAAAATAATCAAATCAGAAGTAGCTAATGATATAGGATCGAACCCCAACGTGTAGCAATGCGTCTTTCAGGGACGATAACTTGTCCATCACACAGAAAGAGAGTAGCTGACCCGTGATTTAAGATGGGGCTCCAGGAAGGAAAGGGAAGGAATGTTGGGCTCGTCCTTTCTCAGTAATTCATTCACCGATTACTGGATAGCTTTCGATACCGCTTAGTGGCGTGTACAATTTTTCTCCATCCCGCCACCCGGCCAGCCCGCCACCCGGCCAGCCCGTCAGCCCGCCATTAATCGTTCCAACATTACGTTGAATGGAGTTTTTGTCATTAAAATATTTGAGATTAAAAATGGTTTGACTTCAATTTGATAAGAACTTTCACTGGATGAAACAGGAAGCAAGGTTGCCAACTCAATCAAATCAAATTTCCTGACAAATATTTTAATTCTTTTGTGTTTTGTGTTTTCGTTTTGTAAGGAAAAAAAAAACCCCCGTTT